TTTGGTAAATTTATTCTCTCATCACATCAAAGTCGAACATTTTTTGTTATTTATTTTATTCTCGTTCATATTCTTATCTTTCTTGTAAGTTAAATTTATTTGTAATATTCGCATCGTTTTTTTTTGTTATTATTATTTTCATTCTAGTCTCTTTATAAAATGGTTCATGTTGGTTCATCTGTACGTGATATGTCACAAGTTTGTTTTGATAAGTATGAAATTTTCTTTTTTCTTTTATTTGAATTGAAATCAATTAACTTTTTATTTAGATTTCGAGAACATATGGCAGGTGTACATGGAGAAAAGAATTTTCATTTTGAACATGGTCATGCTCATGCTCATGCTCCACCAGGTGGCGTTCCAGCTGCAGCACCACCACCTCATCGATAGACTTTGCATTTTATGCGTTTATTTTCATTTAAATATCGCTTCAAGATATTATCACATTCTACTAATTAATAAACACTCTCTACTAACATACAGAACCTTTTTTTTTTTACATATACAATTGTACATGATCGTTGATCTTACAAATAAAAATTTCAGAATTTATTTCTTCAAATTTTTATTGATTTAAATTTAGTACACTTTCGTAGTTAGTTATTAAAAAGACAAACAAAATACATGAGAGAGATGAAAGGTTGAAAATTATTCTTGTTAAGTTAATAGATACTATTGTTCATTTCAAGATAAAAAGTGAATGAGTATTTTTTTCAAACTTATATGGAAGCATTTCTCTAACAGCTTTAGTCTGACTTTTTCAAAATATTGCTTTTCTCTCGTAAAGTGTATTTTGATGACTAAAATATCTTATTCGTAGTAGTCAGAAATTAAATCTTTCCATAGTTTTTTTTAGAAAAAAAAATAAAGTCATTTTATTTTCCCCTAAATTTTAAGTTCCTTTGTAATCTATATATGATATATATTCATAAAGAATGCAGTAATTTCAAATTATTCTACTAGATTTTGTACTTTATTCAGAGATCGATTATATAATAATTAACGTTTATTTTATTTTTTTCGTCTTTTCTACATAAGATAATCTTTGACTTATATTTTTCTTTCTTACATACACTCGCAAACTAATTACTTTTTAATGATCAGTCATTTATAACTATTGAAAATATCATTCTAAATAAGCAAAATAAACGATTACTTTAATATTTAACATCGGCCTTGGATTTTTGAGGCAAGAACAATAGAAAATAATCCATACTAACTATCTTTTGTATTCGTACATGAAATCAGTCATACCTATTTTTTT